TGTTGAAGATCGAGGATCTTCTTAGAAGTCAGAAATGAATGAAACTTTGTAATCAGTCATACGATCACTCTAAATTGTTGCAGGCATTTAACCAGTGTAACATCGATTCGTGGAATACATATCTGTCTAGGGTGCTCGATAATGGAAGTCAAAAAACATTTCCATCTAAGAAAGGGAACAAGCGTGGAAAGGGCTCAGCGAAGTCGCTTAAGGACCATCGAAGAAACAGGTCTCCACGTAAGGGTCATTCAAAGAAAAGGGAAAAGGATAGTAGGAAGTCAGGAAAGTCAAAGAGGGGGCCAAAAAAGGTGGATTTAAAAAAGACCAGTGACACTAAGAGTAAAAGTAACCGGAGGCAAAATTTTCCCAGACCAATTGTTCATACTAGTCAAGTACGAGAAACCCATCAAAGTAAAAAGGAGGTGCAGTTTGCTGAGAGGAAAAGACATGGGAATTTTGCCCTTGAAAGTACCGAGGATGCGAAAAAGTCTGTAATAAAAAAGGAACGACCAAGTACTCCAAATGTGGAAGTGGGACCTCTTCGACAGGATTCCAAAGAGAAGAAAGTTCTGTCGAATGTAAGAGAAGTCGTAGAAACAGTTTCAGATGTTGCTCTGCAATATCCTACATCAAATTTTTTGTCAATTGCTGAAAAAAATAAAAGAAGTGGAGTGCGCAGTGACGGCCAGCCAATTAAAAAGAAACGTTTTCTTTCTGACGATTTCAATAACGACGGAGATAATAAAGGTAAATATGTTTGCTATTTTTGTTACTCTGCTTATGTTTTTTGCTCATGAATCTCCTCTGTCTGCCTATTTGCCCTCAAATTTTTTCGAAGTTTCAGTAAGTATCAAGGTCGAATTATGTGAAGAGGACTCACAACAGTCTGTCAAAACATCAAATAAAAAGTGAAGGTTAGTTGGGGCGTAACAAATGTTTTCCAGGTGAATCTTCTTGATTCTAGTTTCTTTTAGTTGTGATTAGGTTTATCAAGTATGAACTGTACTGTGAATCTTTTTGAAACTTTCTGTACATAACCGCCAACTTTTATGAAGAAAGTTTTAGAAAAAAGGTTGTAAAACGTTACAATTTTAATCACCTGAGTTTGGTGAGACCCTAAGAAGTGTTGCTCATTGTTTTCTCTTCAAATGGTGCTGCTGCGCATGCTGTATTTCTTTGTTTATAACAGTATAATTTGATACTATGCTAGTTTACTAGTTAATATAATAGTGTGATTTTTATATGTTGTTTTCTTATTGCGAAACTTTTCTGTTGTCGGTTAAGAGGACTGCAATCAGTGGTTTTATAAATGGCAATAATTTTTCTATTGTCACTTTGCCACTGCTTATTTTCTTTCAAAATTGGTGTAACACTTCGTTCAAGCTTTCTGGATTACGCTTGTTTCCAGTGACTATGTTCATTTGACCTCGACAGTCGTTTTTTTTTTTTTTTTT